GGCGCCCAGTTGCCATTTTCAGCGGTGACGTTTCACCCTCCGCTCTTCATCCCTCTCTCGCTCGCTCTCACGCGCCGTGATACTCGCGGAATCGCTCGCATCCTCCATCGATCCGTCGTCTTTTTCTCTCCACTTCTCGCTTCGTGGTCGTCTCCTCTCTCGACTTCCGCCTGGCGAAGAAGCGGGGGAGAACGCGAACTCGTTCGGGATTGGTTGATTCTTCTGATGCTACCATTGGCGGATACCCCAAGTTCGAGGCGGACCGACAAGGGCGGTCGGTTTGAAGGCTCCGGCCCCGAACGGAGCGAAAGTACTTTCCACACGTTCGTAACAGTTCGTAAACAGTCGCGCGCACCATTCGAGAACAGCGTAATGGGGAAGGGATACCGATCTCTCTCTCGAGCCTTCAGCGTCCGGAGTCCGACAGCGCGGCCACATACCAGTTTGTGCAGCCGCGACGTTCGCCTCTCGCTCGTTCCTATCTTTTATATGAAGCGGCGACGCGGGGAGATAACGACAGAGATTTCTCGAATCCCATGGGCGCACGCCCATATCACCTCGCACATTATCTTTCTGTTGCCGTATGTTGTTCTCCCTTCCCTTCTACGTCACCACGGGGTACGAGGCAATTCTTGTCGGGAGGAGGGTAGGTGAGGGAAACAGATTCGGGACATCGACCGACAATGAGGTGGAAGTTCGTAAGGTGTCACAGGTAGAATCACGCGGGAACACGTTGGGCAATAAAGCTGAAGATTCGCAGGAAAACGAAGGTACATCAATCGAAGTAACCCTGTCGACGTATCAAGGTTAGTCTCTCGAATGAAGTGCGTGAGAAAAAAATGGAGTGCGATATTGAAGTGAGATATTTTTAGGCGCGATAGATGTCCGATGTTTTTTTTTTTTTTTATGTGATAAAATACAATGTGTGTGTTGTACGTGTCCGTTTAATCGGTTGTTCATTCTTTCAAGAAGTTTTTTTTGCTTCCTATTGTAGAGGCTTCTTGTGTACGAGAGTTTCTTTTGAAAAACAGTGAGTTGCATAATTTATATGAAATGTTCATCATGTTTATCGCATCCAATTGTTTTTTTTTTTGTGTTCTTGTCTATTTTATTCAGTAAAATAAACAGAATATAAGGTTGCCTACGGTAAAACTCAAGTAACTTCGAGCATCACAATTTCGTTCTCCTCGTTTATGAGCGACCCAATAGTTTCCTTCACTATTGATGATTCCCTATTCTTAAGTAACCGCGCAAGAGAGAAGAATCGATTCTATACACTTGAAATTACTGGAAAGTTGTACGTATATATTTTGAGATCAATTTGAAAAAGTTAAAAATAAATTAAAACGTATATAATCCGTAAAAAAACCCGTGTCGGGTTTGAGGATCCAGGTTTTCCTCATCCAGTAGCCATATTGGCTTATGACGTCAGAAGTGAGAAATGACATAACCTAGAATACATGAACTTAATATACAATAGATTGCTGCTAGTTATGATAATCGAACCGTGCCACAGTGTATTCTTATTCTTTTATACACTCTTCTATAATCATGTGACACAAATGAAAAGTTGTTGATGTAAAGTTAATTGATCTATAAATTAAAAAAAAAACGAGATATATATATATATATATATATATATAATAAATCAAAACCTTGAGAAAAGGCAACGCAAACATTCGTGTCATATACGATGATGTAAAACAACGAAAATAACAACATCGCAATCAGAATATACGTCTATCGTCGTCGATACATAACGCGATTGCCAATGCTAACAATCTTGAAGGAGTTAACCGACTTGACGATGCGTAAGCGATTCGATCGAGCGTTCGTACGTGCGTGACGCGTCAGCGTTGATGAACGACCCGATCGTCAGATACAACCCCATTACGTCTCTATAAAGACGAACAGGCCCGTGTGCAGTACATCACGACATGGCGCGTTGACGGTATTATATAATTATGCGGAAGATCGAGCGTCAAGAAGTGTGTTCATCGATAAAAACTCGATTAATCAACGTGACGGAACGTGTTTAGGTATAGCCTCGCTCGCGGTAACGGCCCACGGCGGCGGAAAAAAAAACAAAAGATTGCGAGAGAGAGGCCACTTTGGTGCTAATCTCGGGGCAACGACTACGACGACGACGACGACAAGAGAGTCTCGGCTATATTGTAATAATGGAGCGTTCACGTCCCTCTGATTTACGATCTGATCTCGCGATTATTCGGGATTTCTTGCCCGCAATGAACGTCCGTCACGTCGCGGCGACGGCGGCGGCGGCGGCGGCGACGGCAGCTCCGGGTTTAATTTGACTGCGTTTATAACAAGGTATCGCGCGTGTAATGGAGCACTATCCCCGCCGACAGGCTCCATTACAATCAGGACTTTCCTTCCGGGCCTAAGGGCATCCAGGCTCTCCGGCCGCCTTAATTGGATTTTATTTGCTTAACCGTATCACGGACTCTCTCGCTCGCAGACATATTCCCGTCGTTGTCATCGTCGACGACGAAGCGCCGAGTTGAAGGGCCCGCGACTTACCGTCGTAGCCCCAAGGAGAAGTCTGTCTCTCTTCGGCGCCGGACCTCCGTCTCGTTTGCATATAAATAATCATAACGACCCGGCCTAACACACAACGGTCGGTAGAATGTAAGAGCAACGGTGTTGTAACGGCGCGATCGACCGAGGCGAGGTTTCGTGAACGTCGGTACACATCTCTGGGAGCGATATATTAAAAACAGTTAAAATTCCTCTCACTCCCATTTCATTTAATTACAATATGGACGTTCGATATATACAGGATGATTCGATGTTACTGCTGCTTTTCCCTTAAAAAAAAAAAAAAACAAAAAAAACGCGTAAATAGATGCGACTGTTATAAGAAATAGATAATTTAATCTATCTATATAATATCTAATCCGATCTAATCTAAATATCTTGTGATCCAGAGAAGAGTGAGTGTACAGATTTATATTTATACAAAAATGTTGACGATATTATCGTTGCGTCATCGATTCTGATTTCCTCGCGCGAGCGCGCTGACGTAAGTATGCAGTTTAAAATGACCGATGATTCTGAATACAACAATCTCTCACGGAAAAGGCAATTGAGCACGCAATTGAACACGCCGCAATAACTATTCGATCGTATTTACAGTTACGTTTCTCTCGCGGAAACTAGTTTCTTATTCTCTGTCTGAGGGATTAAAATTTTCCGCAAGGTGCGTCTCACGTCAGGCGTTCGACACACGTTTCATTAGGGAGTAATTAGAGAATTGTGCCGAACACGCCGTGTGCGCGGAACGGCCGCGCGTTCGTCGTGACTTAATTAATTTCGCGGGAGAAATGAGAGACAGAGAGAGAGAAAGAGAGAGGAGAGCAGATTACACCGCACCGCGGCATTCGTACGTACGTACATACGTGATGTTTAATCACGTACGGATAATTAAACAATTATTCGTAACCTTAGATGATAATCGGCGTGACTTAATTACGTATAGAAGAGTAGGAGAGGAGAAAGAGCGTATTGCGCGCGTGTGTGTGTGTTACACAAGATCATACCCATGCGAATCGAGATTTAATCGAGAGGAAATAATCACAAGAATTACCTTCTGCAACAGTGAATTTAGGGACGGGCGATCCAATACGCGGGCATAATTGCTTCTCTAGTATATATTATTCATCGGAGATCCTGTGTTCGTTATTCATATCGCGGGGATTTGCTGCTTTGCAATTTAAATATCACATTATTTGTTAAAGAGTTATATGAGAACTTGTAATGAACTGATTAGACGGATTCTTTTCGATCTGCGTCTTTTTTAATTGCCCGAACAAAGCAACAAGAGATTGATTGATTGATTGATTCGGCTTTATTTTTATAGCGCTCTGGGAAGAGTTCCCCTCAAGCGCATACAGAACAAAGAAATATAAAAACAGAGCCATAAAGTCTAAATATAAAGAAATAAAAGTATGAGTATCAAAAAGTAACACAGTATAGCATAAGTTTACACAAAGTAAGATGCAGTAAAGAGCAGGACAATATTAAATAATATAAAGTAAAAGAAAAGAATAGAATCAGTAAGAAAAATAAGTTTAACAAAAAATAATATAAAGAAAATAAAAATGTAGAAAATAATAAGTTTAACAAAAATTAATATAAATGACGAAAGCATCAAAAAAACAGTGCATCAATATACCGAGCATTAGAATGCACTATAGAAAGGAAATACTGACATTTATCAATATGTAAGAGAGTGCAATTGAGTATGAAAAAATTACGAATCATCAAAAAAGAAAAAAAAATAGTGCATTGAAATACAGAGCACAATAATACACCTTACAAAGAGATGCAGGCATTTATCAAACTAAATTTAGTATAAAAATTTACAAAATTTACAAAATATAAAACAAAGAATAAGCAGAATGAAAATATAAAGCACAAGATTAACATTAAACGGAATGTAACAGAATAGAAAGCGCAGAAATGAATAAAGAATCAAGAAGAGTAAGCTAATAAGTGATTGTACCACCTCCTACGGAAAATATCAAAGGGCTCATTCAGAATGTCAACAGGAATAGAGTTCCAAATATCAACTGAAACACACCTGAAAGAATGCCTGAATAATTCAGTTCGAGACAGCGGAAGAATGAGTAAAATAAAGTAATCGCCATATTAATACATATATTTTATATTTAAATAGAACCACTAAACACACACACACACACTTAAACATTATTTGACTAATTTCATCTTATTCAAAATTCTTTAAAATTTAATTGTGTTGAGTGATGGGCTTCTGTGAACCAAATGCAGGAACTTAGGTGCAATAATGAAGACTGTATCTGTGTCTCGAAACGTTTCGACTTTTATTTAAGTCATCTTCTGTCGAATGAGCTATATAAAATACAAATGATTTTACAAAAAAATATTTTCTTAAAACGGTACATAAGGCATTAATTACAATTAAATGGAATAATATAAAGCAACGTTCTTACTAAAATAACAATTAACACTTCAGCATGAATAATGTCTATTACTTATTTCGTTGTGTCGTGATTGAGTGTAGACACGAACTGAGAGATAAGGTGATATGTTGTCATAGATATTCAAAATTTAGTCACGTGATAAAATCTTTAAAATTTGTTCAGCACCTAATATCATGTAAATGTTTAGTCAATAATAGTTATACTATTATTGACAAAGAAAGTAAAATACCTTTATTCCTAACTGCAGTAGTCCAGTTCTTATTGCGTCCCATACTTTTCTTTTTTTCTTGGATGGTCTAGCATTTCTATATTTGCCTCATATAAACTTATAGCAGCCAATGTTGCTTTTCGGTCCCAAACAGCATCTGTAAAAATATGTGAAAATATATATATGTGTAAATATATATAAAATATGGACTTATTTATTTGTGTTAATTACTATACATACGTTCTTTACTTCTAGATTCTGAAAATTGTGTTGCATCTCTTATTAGATATAATATATCCTAATTAGATATAATATCTTATAAGATATAATATCTCTTATTAGATATAATATCTTATAAGAGAAAGAGAGAGAGAGATAGATCACTCGCTTTTTTCCCGATATATATATATATATATATATATATATATATATGTGCCAGTAATTGAGTAGAAAAGATCTTAACACGACGGATCGCTTAATTACTCACAAAGGAAATTACAACAAAGCTGCCGACGGTAGCCAATCTACGTAGCTAACTCGTCTCTTACCGTCGGCAACAGAGTAGAAAATTGCGTATCCATATAAGCAACGATGTAAATAACGATATCATTATGAGAACTGTAGTTGGCGTTTCTTTTATCAATTCTGATGATGTCAGGATTGAAAGATTTACAAGAACGAGATCTTTTGCGTAAACGTATGACTGAGGAAAGATAAATTTTAAACAGCGGCGCGCGGATGTTCAAAAATGCCGTGAATATATACAAAAGAGAGAACGTTGCTTGTCTCTTTCGCGTTGTTTCGTTCTCCCATTAACGCTATCGCTCCTCTATACAAGCTCTCTCGTCGTTTCTTCTTTCACGCTTTTCTCACGCGCGTCTCTCAGCGAAAGAAAGTTGCGCACAGGGTATATATCTCGCGCGACACGGTAAAGTGGTCCTGCTCGTCGTGTTCGCCCTGCTGACGATTCCCGTCGCGACACGGGAATCACCGGCGACTATATAACGACAGTAAGTGCTGCGGGATAATTGCACGGACGCGTCTCGTTCACCGTACGACATAATAAGAATCGACGGACGCGCGGAGAGGCGCGCGCTATATAGGCGTGCGTGAACGACAATCTTAATTGCGACTAAATAAGCGCTAATGATAGCCGAACGCTTACTTTTGCAACGAACGTTCGCGCGCGACGATAAAGCAAACACGGGAAACGCGTTCTCTACCGTTTTCTTTTTTTTTCTCTCTCCCACTCGTTAACAGGATGAACGTTTTGCGAAACGCAAATTTTCCCGGACGTAACGCGACAACGGGAAGAGGGTCAACGAGAGGAACTATTGTAGAGAGTCTCAAGTTAATTCTCTTCTCGATAGAAGAAAGCTGAACCCGAGTCGAAATTTAGCGTCTACATTGAACCTCAATTTTTGAAAAAAGGAAATTTCGGACGTACAGCAGCGTCAAAGTAGCATCTACTTTTTTTCTTAATCCTACTTTGAGCCTATCGGAGCTTATTTTGAGCCTATCAGAGCCTGCGCAGTCTGATCTGAGAATTGAACCCTACTTTAAAACTTTAGCAGAAAAAAAGGAAATTTCGGACGCATAGCAGCGTCAAAGTAGGATCTACTTTCTCTCTTACTCCTAATCAGAGTTAACTCTGATCGAGAGTTGCGCTCTTTCGTGAACTTCCACAGACATCGCGCGCAGTTTTAAAATTCTTCTTCCGTTTTCGTAATTTCGCAAAGGGACATCCCCCGCACACATCTCCCGAGAGAGACGCAAGGCGTGAGATCGGAGGTCTCGTTTTTCGCGCGCGAAAATTAACATTGCAAATAAGACGTTCGTTCGATAAAATCGAAACGGCGCGTCGGGGAGTGCCGAGAAACCGAGAGGAATATAATTGGGCTGCGGCTTTTTTCGCGGGATCTCGGCTCTCTCTCTCTCTCTTCGGTGAGATTATGAGTAATGCGTTCTCTCCGCCACGACTCTCCGAGAGTCGTCGCCTCTCCTTTTCTTTCTTTCATCCTTCCTTCCTTCGCGCGACCCGACTCCTCGCCTCTCATCCTCATCGTTCGTCGCGAACCTTTCCTGCGTCCTTTCTGCAAGCTGATAGAGACCCGGCTCTCTCTCTCTCCCCGATCGTCCCATTAGCGTAATGGCTCTCGCGGTATAGTCTTTGCATTTAACTCACCGAATTCTCTTCTTCGGTCGTCTCTCGCCTCGGCGCGAAAACGATCGCTCGGCCGCGATCTCAAGCTCTAACCTCGCCTCGCTATTTATGCAAATCGGCTGAGCGGTTATTTGTGAAAACTGTCGAAAAAGCGACGGAAATAAGCCGCGTTTGACATATTTGCTCGTGCTAGGCTGAGGTCGAGATTCCAAGTTGAAAAGAAGTTGTTTTAAAGGCCGGAATTTTTCGAACTCTTCGAGAACTGTAGAATCTCGTGATCACAAGATCCGTCAGTGCCACATCCAAGGCCACATATTTTTGAAATGGAATTTTGTCTACGTTAATCGACGGAACTAACGATTCTTAGCAGGAATTGTAAAACTATTAAGAAGGATGCAAATATCCAGAACTAACGTCAAAACTTGTGCAATTTTTTTGAGTTTGCGGTGCCCACACCGACGCGGAGTTGTTTGTTTCAGAGGAAGACGATGCGACCGATTGTGTGATTTGTGAATATTCATCGTGTGTGTCCTTGATGCGCGACATTTTTTAAATCGGAACAACGAGAGATGAAAATGAGTTCCGCTAGTTTAGGTCGCAATTTAAACGGTGAACAGCGCGGTGTCGATCAAATCTCTCATCTAGATCGACTTTTAATTGAGATAATTCACGCGCCGAATACAACATTGCTGATGCAACACGCAATGGAAAACAATGAGACCGAGATTATGCAATACGTAATGACGTAATGGCACTTCATACACACATCGCGTTTCAGCTTCTAATATTAATCATTTTGTCGCTCGATACAACTATGGTAAATTACGTTTTTCGTTTTCTCGACACCGAAACTTATTCGTTAGATAATATCACATACCGTTCGTTGCAATAGAGAGAACCGACGGATTGAAATATATTTTTGACAAAAATCGTGTTTTTTTTTTCTTTTTTATATGTGATTCGTGTCAGGAAAATGTTTGCCGAGTCTCTTCTTCCTCTCGTACACCGAGAAAATCGGTGCGAAAATTCGTTGCGTGACTTGTACGAGTGACTGTACCACTTGGCCACGTGGTACAAGTTCTGATAAAGAGGGCAAGGTTTTAATAAGAGAAGGATTGAGAGCTCGCTCGTTCTCGTATACCTGCGCTACCACGAACCGGTGGGCTCCTTCTTTCTCGCGGGACGCGCCGGAGATAGCAACAATAAATAACTTGTCCCTGCGCCGGCTAAAAGCATCCTGCCGATCCTCCCGGTGACCGGTCGCGTCGCTTTAAATCGACGACGGCGCAGTCACGACGTGACTTCAGAGACTTCGGACGCGAATAGAGAGATGCGCGACAACATTTTTCTGTGAGCACTTCCGAAAGAAAAAGCGCCAAAAATTTAACATCTTCAGTGATTTCGAATTTTTCCGTTTAAAACACTTTATTCATCGCAACAACTTTGTTCGGACCGCTTTAAAGCTTTTTAATTGTTATCGTATTTACAAACGAGTCTATAATGTATCTCTACAACGCATTCTCTCTTCGATATTTTCTATTCTCACCACAATGTATTGTTTCTAAGTTGTTTATGCACCTCGACTTTGACAGGCCTTGGCCGAGTGAGTTTAATAATTCATATTCTTGACGACACAATGTATTATTGTTTCGATTGTATTACAAATGAAGTTGATCTATTCCTTGCGCAAAGTGCAAAGTCTGATTCATTTGTGATTACACATTTCAGCATCATTTTTTAATAATTCCGATATCGAAAGTTTTGTCGCATTGACGTAAATTGAATGTAAGAATGCAAAATTTTATTTCTAAGAATTGTTTTTTTTTATTATAGTGATCTCTCTCTTTCACGTCTCTCTATATGATCAATTTTTACTCTATCGAAATACAAATTAAAACAGGTTTCAAATATAAATGAAATTTAAAAACGATCGACCTTGATGCCGTGGTTGAGTTGTTTGGTTTTTTTTTTTTTTTTCGGATCCGAGTTTTTGATTTACCACGACCTAACGGTGGACCACAGTCAAAGCATCAAGGTCGATTTCGATTTTTGAATTTCCAACTCTATCATTTTACACGACACGTTGTCATATACACGAATATTGTCACTTTTTTTTTTGTTTTTATTTTTTTCTCTCAGCGCTGCTATTCAGACGAGAGCGATTACTGTATCAACTCTCTCGACACTTATCGCAAAAAGAAACTCTCATCCTCTTAATGAATTTAATATTCGAGTTCGCTACTTTAACCGCCCGTTATTACAAGCTCGATTTCTTCCGCCGCCGTGCGCATTCCATCCCCGTGCGCCGTTCGTGTGTAATTACCACAAGAGAGGCGCATTGAGCGCATCATCGTCACTCGTAATCGCGGAGAATCAGCGGTAATGGCGATTATAAGCAGAACCCGGGCTCGATTGACGAGGCGCATCATAGTTGATTTCTGTGCGCACTTGTCTCGCCTCGGCGCAATCCGCTCCGCAATTTCTACATCTCTCTCGGAGATATGTATTACCTCCGGTGTTTTCGCCGATCCGCGAAACCCGCACAAGGTATCAATACGCCGCCGTCGGTTTTAAAGTGCGCATTATCCGCCCTGGAACCCGAGCGGAAATCATCGCGGGTTTCTTTTCGCCGTCGAACATCACGGAGAAATACTAGAAGAAGGAAGAAATCGTTGCATCAAAGATGAAAGAAAGAAGAGATATGTGCGAGATTTTTTTTTTTTTTCTAAAGAGTTTTTCTCGACGCGATTCCGCACACATGCGCCTTTCAAGCCTCTTGATTGTACAATATCGATGCGAGCGCAATAAGCAGCTATGAGATCCCCGGAGATAAATGTACCTCTCCGTCGAAGATAACTGTGTTTATAAACACGAGGCGTATCTTCCTCTCATCTGTGGACTCTTGATTTAGAATTGGATTAATTTTCCTTCTCGCGCGCACTTCGAGAAGCGCTAATAAGATTTTAGATAGATAAAATCGCGCTTAAACAACG